TGGGCCTGTCCTGTGCACTCTAGGAGACACAACAGCAGCTCTGGCTTCTACCCACTAGATGTCATAGCCTCACCTTCAGCAGTGATAACCCACGAGGTCTGCAGTTATTCCCAAATGCCTCTTGGGGCATTATCACCCCTGATGAGCATACTGGTCTACAAAAAAGGATTTTTGGTTCGTGTTCTATTGGGACATTTAGGTTTGTAATGAATAAAGTAAAAATATTTTTTTTTAAGATATGAGACTGTACTGTATATGTGGTACCAGTAAATTTGTTTCTTTTCATTGAAGTTCACTACAAATGTTTACCTCCCAATTGCTACAACTGTCTTTTAAAGTAACAGGGAGGTGAGGGGTGGGCTGGCAGCAGGCAGGGCTGCAGCTTTGCTAAGAACAGACTGCTCTGATACTCTAAGGAGCAGTAACTAACAGTGCAGCTTCTGGTTCAAATCTAATAAGCAAGTCCAGTCCAGACTGACCTGTTCATAAGGCGCAACATTTAAAAATCTCTGTCATTTTCATGTAATGTTAGCGTCCTACTGGGAAAACTAAACTACATGCTATATTTATTAAAGTAATGCTGTGCTGAAAAAAATCTCAGCTCCTCTGCCCTTTTAAAATTGATTCATGAAACTGACCCAATTTTTATGTTAAAGATGTCAAAGGTCCAAGCTGAGGTTTAAGCATTGATAATCTTCAGTGACTGTCAGTATCAGATTTGATTTGCCTTGAACTGCTTAAATCAACCATTTACCACCATCAGTCCTGACAACAGTGATTGTTTTGTTACTTTGAAACCTGATTATTGCTGTCCAACAGCTGGGAGGGACTTTAAGATCCCGGAATCCAACCTGTTTCATTGAAAAATTCGGAAAATGAGTTTCCATAGAATCTGACATTTCATTTCAAATACATCAGCATCATGATGTGTAAATGAGACTAGAGCTATTGTTAAGTGTGACCCTATTGATTTTCATTAGGACCCACCTTACCCGGCTCCATCACTTAGACACAATATTGTACTAAAGTGAGGATTTGGCAAAAATGATGGCCTGGACAAGAATATGCCAAGAACTAATTGCAAAGCCCCACTGAAGGATCTAACTGTGTTTTCAGCCTGACAGGCCACTTCACAGTGAGGAGTAAAGAGCAGGAAATTTCAGACAGGTCACATAGTAAACTTACTAAAATGAGCTTTTCGTTGTTTCCGGCAAGTTACCAAACCTCTCTAAGCCCGAGCTTGCTCACTTATAAACTGGTGAGAAATAATATAGACAGCTGCTTAAATAGGCAAGGATTTAGTGCTGTTATGAAGGTGAAATACTTAGCACACTAGCAAGAAATCAGTCTATCTACAGTAGTTGTTGATATCATTGGCCTACACTAAAAAGTCAGTCCACTAAGTCATTTCACTCTGGAGTCTTCTGTTGGACTCTGGAACCTAGATTTCTTCAGAAAACTTGGATAGTGAAAATGAGACAACCTAAGTGACGTTGTGCACTTGTCTCCTGCAGTAGAATCTGAATCAAAGACAATGTGAGTATAGAGACATCTCAAAAGAAGCATAGGAAGCAAATCTTTTTTTTTTTTTTTTAAGATATATTTATTTTGGGCCTCCCCGGTGGCGCATCGGTTGAGCGCTGGGTTGCGAAGCTGCCCGCGGCCTCTGCGGCACCAGTTCGATCCCCGGCTGCTCCCCGGCCACTGGAGGAGGGTCCCACATGGCGCGCAGACCTCTCCTGCCGCCCGCTGCTCCCCTCAGCATCATACTTCGTCACTCTGCCTGCTCTGCTCCCCGCTCTGGCTCTGGTGAATTCTCTCACCCTCCCGTGCTTCTGACTGTACCCAGTGCTTAAATCAATCAATCAATCAATCTTTAAAAAAAAAAGATATATTTATTTTTATACAAGAATTGGGGTACAGGCCAGAGATGCACGGGAGGTGAGAGAATTCACCAGAGACAGAGCGGGGAACAGAACAGGCAGACAGACCGAAGTACATTGCTGAGGGGAACAGTGAGAGAGACAGGAGAGGTCTGTCCCGCCATGTGGGTCACCTCCCTGGCTGGCTGGGGAATGGCTGCAGATTGCTTCATAGGTTGCGTCTTAACCCCAGCACCACCAGGGAGGCCCGAGGAAGCAAATCTTTATCAATGTTGTTTTCCTTGGTCAAATGTTATTATGGTCATTGTATTTGCTTAAGTTGACATAATGCTGTATGAGGTGAACATTCAAATGTACCCATTTTAAACCATAAAATAAATGTAACTTTAAAAATTAGTAAAAATTTTGAAATATACAATTTTTAATGAAAATATATAAAGTACATTTCCTTTCTTTAGACCCTAAACCCAGCCCACCCTATATCTCTCTCTGCTGTGCTTTGGGCAATCCAGGAATATGATTGCTGGGCATATTTAGTGGTGAGCAAAAATTGTCTAAGGAAGAAAAATTAATATAGGAACAAATGCCAGTAGATTTTCATATAAAGGCAAAACATTTTCAGGTGAAAAATTAAGGAAAACTTCAAGGAGTTTTTTTAGGGGGTTCCCCAAAACCTTTTATAATCTAAGCTCCAAACAGCATAAAAACCTGCTTTAAATAGCAACATTTTATTCAGGTCAGTACTTCAGGTCCCCAAATCCAGGTCATACACCTCAGGCCCATGTGCTATCCTAGGAAGATTCTGGTTGAGTACCTCATTCTTCCTCATACTCACCATCGTAGAGGCTTCTAATCTGGTAACAAAATGCAGTCATGGTGGTTTTTATGGATTTGCTTTTGAAAAAAACATCCAATATGTGTTGGATAGATGTGGCTATGTTTGGGTATGTAATGGATGTGATTTTAGATAATGTAGGGAGTAACATTTAGTCATAAAAAGAATGAAATCTTGTGACAGTATGGGTGGACTTTTAGAGTAATACGCTACATGAAATATAACAGACACAGAAACCCAAATATTGTCTGATTTCACTTATATATGGAACCCCAAAAATAAAGCAAACATAACAAAAACCAAACTCAGAGTACACAGAAGAGATTGGTTGTTTTCCAAAGGTGAGCAGGTTGGGGGAGGGCATATGAGGATGAATTGGATGAAGGGGACCAAGTGGTATATACTTCCAGTTATACAATAAATAAGCCCTGGGATATCTCATACAGTTTGGGGGCTACAATCAGTAATAATGTATTGCAAATTTGAAAATTGCTAAGAAAAGATGGTAAAGAGACATTGCACGGTACAAATGTCAAGTCATATTACATTTTTTTTTTATAGAGGCATGTTTTATTTATTTATTTATTTATTTTATTTGTTTGTTTTGTTTATACATGCACTAGGTACAGTCAGAAGCGCGGGAGGGTAAGAGAATTCACCAGAGCCAGAGTGGGGAGCAGAGCAGGCAGAAGGACGGAAATACACTGCTGAGGGGAGCAGCGGGTGGCAGGAGAGGTCTGCGCACCATGTGGGATCCTCCTCCGGTGGCCGGGAGCAGCCGGTGATTGAACCGGCGCCGCAGAGGCCGCGGGCAGCTTCGCAACCCAGCGCTCAACCGCTGCGCCACCGGGGAGGCCCCATATTACATTTTTTAAACCAATATAATGTTATATTTCAGTTATACTTCAATAAAACATAAGAAAGTTCTAAAAAATCCAGCATATAGTTTGTGAGCAACTAGAAAAGAGTTCTAAAACCCAAAGCTTTAGGGTAGATTTATCCAACGACACCCACTCAAGGTGGTGTTTGTACCTAAACTAGTCCTCATGGATGGTGCTTCCTTTGTGACCTCCAGGCAAGGGAGCTAGAATCAGAAAATGCATTTTTGATACCTGAAAGGTAACTTTCATTGGTCCATAGGTCAAAAATGTAGCTGCAGAGCCCTGTGGTTTACTTCCATGTTCGCCCTCCTCCTGGGCATGCCCTTTTGTTTTGACAGCCTCTTACCTCCAAGCCATGTGAGTTTTATGCACATCTCTAGTGTGCAATGGTTCAAATACTATTCAAAAAGTTCAGTGTCCTATTAAGGTTCCTGGGGGCTTGTGGAGGTGAGTGGCTGGGAAAGGCATTCCTTTTATAGATCCCATATCCTAACAGGTCAGTTATGAGCCCACATGTTCTGCTTCTGCAGGCCTCTTCCATGTCACCTAACAGCCAGACAGGGCTTTCAAGCATGATTTTATGAATTGCCATCTTAAGCCGGATGCCACTGAGTCCCAATACTGTTGAATGATAACTGCCAGTTCAGTATAGGAAGAAAGAAAAAGTGGTGGGAATTTCAGAGTTCACTTGTAAGGGTTGATGAGACCATGTCATGTTACCCCCATTCCTAGGAAATGGGGCTGGGTGAAGCCAGTTCTAGTGGGGGTTTTGCTGACTAAAGCTGTGGTATGTTGCCATCTAGTGGAACATATGGCAAACTAAAGATTAATGTATTCTGACCACAAAGTTCACCAGAGCCAATTAAATATTGAAAGTATTTTCTAAAGAAGAGTGTTTTGGAAACACATGCAAATTTAGGTGAAACTAAAGTTGACTCTTAGTAATCATGTTTTCTTGAAGTTGGCAAAAGGTCACTCTGTTTCTCAAGAGTTCATGAATATTTGCCCCCCCGGGAATTGACACAGTTTTCAAACCTATACCCAGGTCCAGGTGGGGCATGTTCATTGAAATCTCTATAATAAGCACAGTTTCTTGTTTAAATTCCTGGGCAAAATGCTAGGTTATTACAAGGTAATCTTAGTATTTTTAATATGATTTTAAGACTTTCCAAATCTTCCTTATTTGTATTTTCTTTTTTTCTATTAACTACCAACAGAACATATACAGTTTTTGGAGAAGCAAAGACATCTTCACATTAAAATTCCTAATAACATCCCCAAGAGGTCCAGGTTTTTTGACTTGATTTATGTGACGCTCTGTAGGCTTTGATTTGGGCCTGTTTCCTAAATACTGACTATTTCTTTTGTTTGTTCCTTTGCTCTTTTCCTGTGTTTGCTTAGATCCCTCCCTGGTGCCACCGCAGCCGAGTGTGCATCCAATCTGAAGAAAATTTACACAGTACAAACAGTACAGGTAAGATCCAGAAGGGGAAGTACCAGATGAACGTGGCGTATGTTGAAAACACAATCATTCAACCTGAAAATTGCCCCCGTGCTGGCTGCCCCGACATGGACTCTGCTCTGCTCACAGGTTCATTTTGGTGGAAGTGTCCTAGGAAATGCCAGCTGAGTATATGCCCAAGTGGCTTATTCTTCTCTTAGCAACCTAATTATTATTAGCATCTAAACCTTCCACAGACTCCCTCACCCCCCACCCTCAAGCAGCAGACTCGAGTGTGTCTGCATTCAAACACCAGCTGTGCCCCTCCCTCCCAGCCCTGTTTCCATCTGTGAGGGACAGTGGCACCCGCCTGCAGGGTTACTGAAGGTTATGGTCACCCATGGAGAGCAGGACAGTGTTGGGCATGAAAGTCGGAGGTCTCCTTCCTATTTCACATTCGAATTCTATCATCCTAAATTGGGAAGATGCAAGTAATTAACCCTTTAAATTTCTATGAAATTGGCATAAATGATAGCACATTCTGGTAGATTGTTGTGAGGATTGAATAAGAATATTTATACTTTGCTGATAGAAAACATGATTCAAACAAATCAACAAATGCAAGCTTTTTCTGTTAGTTCTTTCTTTATCCAACTCTTTGGATTAATTAAAAAGAAAGTTTCTTTTTAAAAAAAGGTATGTAATTGATCACATATCTATTTTCTTCGAAAATAAATTCTATCAAATTTCTCCCCTTTTCTACTTTAATACAGAAAAGGCTTTTAAGGCTGCTTCATTGTTGCATTGACCATATGTCCTGAATTTTCCAAAAGGAGCAGATTGAAACAGTTTTCCTGTTGTGCCCCTAAGTCTTTCAATGTCTTAGAAATTCCTGTAGATTGGCATCTCGATTTTCTCTCTTAGTACATGAAGGCGTGGCATATAATTTTTATAATCCTTTTCTCAGATCCTGCCCAGTATCTGGTTCAGAAAATTGGTTTTTGTAGATAGGCCATCCGTCTCAGGAATCTGATTGTAAGATGCCATGGGTGGCCTCTGAGGGCAGTAAGCTGGTGTAAGGACAGTCCCGCCCACCAACCAGTTCTGATCTAGTTGGAAAAATGACATAAACTTGTGGAAGGCAAAATCACAGTGCTGCTGTAAATAATCGTTCAGTGCCAAGTACAAGCCGTGTCACAAGGCAGCATGTGGGCCACCATCCAAAAGGATAATGCTCTCAGTCTGGGAAAGGCTGCCCTTGCTCAGCCCCTGTGTCAACTTTGTGGACTTTAGTTAACTCTTCCCAGCAGCCATTGTACAGACTTCAGAACAGTTGATTTTAAAGCCCATCTTTAGCTGCAGAAGCTCTAGATCCCATTGGACCTTTTAAAGTACTTATTAGACTTGCTGCTCCATTGTGACATTCGATCATCAGAGTTAAGCCTGGCATTCCAGGACAAACATCAGTAAAGTCAGATTAAGGGGTGGGTTTATTTTGCAGGTCCAGCATATTGACACAGAGCATTTGGTGGAGACTTAGCATCCAGCTGCAAGTTAGAATGGGTATTCAGGGACCAATTTGAGTACCAGGGCTGGCACAAATTAGACATTTGTTTAAAAATACTTTGGAATAAGATTTGCATTCAGTAAATACAGGTTTCTTAAGTATACAGTTTGATAAATTGGACAAAGGTATGCAAACAGGTAACCATCATCCAGATAAAGATTAAAAAAAAAGTTCCTTCGTGCCAGAAAGTTTCTTCCAGCCGGTTTCCTTCCAGAAGCAACTACTACGCACATTTTTGTCACCATACAGTAGTTTGGTCTATTATTGAACCTCATATAAATGGAATGATATAGAACTATACTCAGTATGTCTATTTCCTTTCACTTAATAAATATTGATGGATTGAATGAAAGAGAAACTAGTGAATAAACCACTTTCCTGGCCTCCAGCAGACTGCTTGAGTAAGGATTTGTTAAATTGTATACTCCACTTTCTCAATGGGGAAAAAAATTGATTCTTGTTGTAGAGAAAAAGATCTGTTTCCATGACTAAGCACAGATATACAGCACATAAACAGGTATATAGTCTCTGTCTTATTAAAATTGCCTGAAGGGGGGTGATAACAGCAAAGGTCTCCTTCAGGGTGAGGGTGGTGCTCTGAGGGCTCAGGAAGCTGTTTTGAATATCTGATGTCTCTGTCCCCCTCTGTGCTCATCTGTAAAACTGAGATAACAGTCCCTACCCCCTAAGGTTGAGTGAGGGCTAAGTGAGAATACATACAGCTCGTACTATGTTTGGTGTGAGTAAACCCTCAATTGTTGGCAGCATTTATCAAAGTATAGTTGGATTCTGTGCCTCAGCTTTATCAGTTGCCAGGTGAGGAGATGTGCACTCAGGTGTAGGGTAGCCACACTGCCTGGGTTTGTGCCCCATCCCTGCCACTCACTTACTGAAGCAAGTATCTTTACTTCTCTGTATCTGACTCATCTGCAAGATGGGGATAACTGTGGCACCAGTTACATAATGAGATTGGGGGTAAAGCAGCACAAGGAGGTAAAAAGCACTGGGTGAAAGGCTCATCTGCATCATTCACCTGTCCTGCCTTGTGCCATCTTTTCATATTTTCCTTGGTTGTATTTTAGATCAGAAAATTTATTTCAAGCAGTTATTTCCTGGATTCACTACTAACTGATTGCTCATACCTCTACTTATGTACATGTATTTGACTTATCGGTAACTTGTGGGACTTCAGCCTGTGTGTATCCTTAATATCTGTGAATAGTTCTTTATATTTAAAAACTAGCCTGGGTGCTCATTTTAAAGTTGAGGATATGCTTTAATCCCATGATCTTTTTATTTGGGATTACTTGTTGACGCTTGGATTCATTCTGTCAGCACTAAAAACCTACCTTCCTACTCATGTTTATCCCCCTATAGGTGTTTAGGTGAAATTTAGGAATCATGTGCTACTGATGGTCACTTTACATAAAGACATATCTTTTTATGCTTTGTGACCCTTTAGCAAATTTGAGGTGTTGAGATATGGGGCAGGACTCGTTCTCTTTATTAGATGAGGAAATGGAGACTGGGAACATCTGATGGGCAGCCCCAGCTAAGCCATGCCTCTGGGACCAGAGTTCCTTACACTTTCAGTTCAGTTATTTATTTCCCTCCACCCTGTTGCAGAGTAAGGGTGGCGTGCACCTCCAGATGGCCCAGTGACCCCTGCTGAGGACACTCTCATCAGGGCCAACAATAATTTTCTCCGCTTGGAGTTAAATTTATTTCTTTCCTGCCTTTCTTGGAAAATTCCATTTTCATCTATGGACTTTCCAGATGCATACCGATTCCTTTTCTTCTTTTGTAAACATTTCTGATTTTTCTACATCTCTCCTTTGTTCCTAACTCCTAAGTGGTTGCAGTGCAGAATAGAACATGGCTTTACACAAGCCCTATCTTAACTGTGGGAGGACAAAGAGCTCCTGCCAAATGTGATTTGCAAGAAAGGTGCCCCCTTGTAGCTAGTATTTTCAGTCTTGCTACCAGAAGACTAAAATTCCACCCTGAAAATGTGTTCCTAATAGCATTCTGTCTCTCCTCAGTAACTGTGTTCTCACCTTCAAGATTTGCCACACCATGTCCCATTGTACAGTGTTCTATCCAGTATTTTCCAGAAACGTCGTATTTCTTTTGTAAATGAGTATCTGCCCAGCACCATTTATCACAGACAGGAGGTCTTGATTAAAAATATATGCAATTCTTCAAGTCAAGGGAATGTTCCTTCTGCACCTGCCAACTCCTACCAGAAAGCTGTGGAATTATTGTGCAGGTCTACTTCATAGTTCTGTCTGTGTAAACTAATATTCAACACAAGATTCTGCATCTGTTGTTTGTATATAATGGGATCAACACTTAGAGTGACAAACCAGCTGTGCAGACTGGAACTATTATCCATGATCAATAAATAGAGATTAACTATAGATCAGTTGCCCATGATCCTCCAAGCCTCCAAAACATTGTGTAGATAGAGTAAAGACTGAGAAGAGAGATTAAATATTCAAAATAACTTAGTCATGTCAAGTGTAAAACTTGGTATCTTCTGAAGGGAGTCAGAGTATGCCATCCAAAACATGCCACTTTAACATAAGAATTATTTGGAGCTAAAGATAAATGAGAAGGTAACTCAGCGCTCTCTGCCTAAAAACAGGGCATCATTTTCCTTTGTAAAGCCATCCCCCTTTCTTATCTCTTGAGTCTGCATCACAGGCATTACTTACTAACCAACCCTCATCTACCCTATGGTTTCTAGTCAGTTCCCACACTTACCACCTCCAGGAGCCTACCCCCCTTTTCCTTTGCCTGGTCACTTCCGCACAGTTTATAACCCTTTGTTAAATCCAACCACATCTTCGCAGACCCTGTGACCCTATGCATTTAAAAATATTTAACATCAATGAAGAAACATGTATCAATGGGTTGTATCCAGGAAGCATGATACACGCTGCTCTGCTGTGTTTCCCCAGTTTTCTGGGGGATTCTCTCACATTCTTTTGAAGTATGAACTTAGCTCCCAAACCCATACTTGGTTTTTTATTGACTTCCTATGTGGTGGGACACTAACTTCCTAGCCTTCGGTTCCTCTTCTCAGTGATCAGACTTCCAAACTTGGGTTTTAAATCCAGCACTTTGGAATTCAAAGTAAACTCACTTATCTCTCAGGCACCTAGCTCTTACAAATCAGAGGCACTTTGCTTTTAGCAACTGTTGATTTTAAAATGCCAATTAAGCTCTCCACCTTTATTCTGGACTCTTTCTTCCCATGTTGTAAATACCACTGGTTCAGTTGGTGGGAAGAAAGCCCGTTAGAAACACCTAATGGATAAAAATGTTTGCTTGATATTTGAAAAATACTCTCCTGTTTCATATGCTACAATCCTCAGACGAAATCCTACATTTGGGGTGTTTTTGTCTTACACCATGATGTCTAGCCACGTGGCATCTTTTCTTCTCAATTATTTTCAACAATATTCTCTTTTTTTTTTTTTTTTTTTTTTTTTCAGAATTTTCCCGTAGGAAATTTACACATTTCCCTGGTAATAAATGATTATCAGTTTGACAGAGGGCTGTCAGATAGGGCTTGGCTGCTCCAGTCAGAGCTAGTAGTTTGGGGATCTATGGGATGTCACCACCGTCCAGAGTCACACCACACTGCTTGCTTTAGGTCCATCATAGGCTTCCCTTTGCATTTGATCATTACATTAGCCAATGAAATAGCTGTATCTGGCACAATATACACAGGAGGAAACATGGGCTTCTGAAGATTATCCCTAGAACCTTGGTCTTAAGTCCAGGAACCTTAGTTTTAAGTTTCTTGGATTCAAGACCTCTTTGGACTACTGTGTGCCCTGCCTCAGTTCCTCAAGGAAAGGTGCCAGAAAGGTGCATGAGAATGCACCGCTAAGTTCTACACTCCGGCAGGAAAAGACTCCCTCTCTGCACTTAGCTCTGGCCCTGTGGACTGAATCAACAATACTCAGCTTTTATACTTCTCCTCTTTCTTGGATTATCATTGAGACTTTTTAAAAGTACTTCATCATTATGAATAAATTGAGTTTTATTTTTACTATAATTACCTATCTACTGTTTGCAAGCCAAATTGAATTAATTATAAGCTTTTAATGGCCTTTGAAATCCATTTGCAAGTTCTGCCTTTAGTAAAAATTCAACTAAAAGAAAAGCATCACAGAGAATATTACCATGAACTCACCAAGTTTCCAGTGAAACAGTCTTTCACTTCTGGGTGGCTGAAGAAAGCCTAAAGAGTTGGTTATGCTACACTCTTCCTCCCACTTTTTGCCATCATACAAACATAGCACATATTCCACATATTGGATGAGGTTTGCAACAAAGAAACAAACTGATTTAGTGCCACATAATTTTTTTAATGGGGTATTTTTCAATAGTGTCAACAGAGTTCATTCCTGTTTTGTATTCATGCACAAACATGCACGTATGTTCATTAATAAGCCCATTAAGTTAGAGTTAAGTCCATTGCTTTATCTTCTTGGGCCGTAATCTCTTGTCAGGTTTGCCAAGACAAATTCTGTTGTCTGTTTTTGTTTTCAACAGAAGGTTCTAATGCTACAATTCTTAGCATAATCCTTAGAGTATTTTTCCTGCATTCAAGGCAGGAACAAAGGCAGCATTTTGTTGTTTCTTCAAAACAGGATTGGAGAACTTTGGCAAGGGTGTGAGGGCAGATTCTCTGGTTTGTATATGTTTTCTGAGACTTGGAATTTCCCAGCACCAAAGTCCTCTTGGTTTTACCTAAAGGAGGGATTTTTGTTTTAGCATAATTTTGTCCATAAATTCTTCACAGCCCATTGCCACATTGTAGCAGAATGGTGTTCAACCCCCCGCATAATGAAGTGGAAAAACATCTTCCACAGTTGTCCCCTATTCTGGACCCTATGTATGTTCCCTGCCTTCCAGGACTGGAGAAAGGTGGGCCCAAATGAACAGTACTGTTGCTCATGAGGAAAGCTGATTGGAATTAAACTGCCTGGGTTTATGTAGCTCCACCTGTTCATGCTCGCACCACAGACAGAAATTGAAGTATTATAGTGAGTATCGGCACTAGCAGCACATTATAGAATGGGTACCTCTGTAATGAGTTATCTCTTTGATGACCTGCTGTTACTAAAAATCTGTTTTCAGCTGCTCCCTTCATTAGTTCTGTTTTGGTACAAGGATATCAAAAACTATCCTAGGTATTCTTAGTTAATAAATCGACCATGAGGTAGTCTTTTTGCCTTCAGTTTTATGTAAGTTCACTGTTGCTATCCTTACAACTAATTTGAGTTTAATTTTCACTCAAGACAGCCTCACCAACACGTAGAGATTATCATCCAAGGGAGTTAATTTCATTCCACCAATGCAATTCCATTCAGGGTGCCATTGGATTCACTTTTCCAGTTGGTCTGTTGCCTGTGCTATTTTTGTTAGACCCACTAGGAGACTCAGTCACCCCTTAACTTACCTCCCTACATGGAATATTTCTCATTTGTGTCGTAATTATATGAATAATCCTAACTGATTCTGTGACCTATTCTAAGCAACATTGCAATCTCAATCATTGTCCTAATCTTACACTTGGACAGGTTAGTAGCTGGGCCTCAGTTCCCTTACCTGTAAAATGGGTAGTAATTCTACTCTTAATGAAGTTGTCATTGGATAAATGACACAAACATGTAGGATTCCTATACCAAAACCTGGCACTATTACTATTAAAGTAGTCCCGACCCTTATTTGAAGTTTTGCTTCCGTGATTTCAGTCGCCTGCAGTCAGCCATGGTCTGAAAATATATGCACTAAGATATTTTGAGAGAGAAAGACCATATTCGCATAACTGTTTTTACAGTATGTTGTTATAATTGTTCTATCTTATTAGTTACTGTTGTTAATCTCTTTGAGCATAACTTAGAAAGCTTATCTTAGGTATATATATATATTTTCATGTATTTATAAAAAAACAAGATACACACAGGGTTTGTTCATGGTTTCAGGCATCCACTGAAATCTTGGAAAGTATCTTCCACAGAAAAGGGAGAACTACTATGTTATTACTGTTACTGCTGTTATTGTTGCTGTTACTATCACTTGATTATTTTTTGTAATTTGTGTTCTGGTTGCTGTTACAGAAGACTACACACTGGATAGCTTAAACAACAAATGTTGATTTCCCACAATTCTGGAGGCTAGAATTCCAAGGTCAGGGTACCAGACTTGACAGATTCAGGTGAGGGTGTTCATCTTGGTTTCCATACCGACAGACGGCCATGTTTTCATTGTGTCCTCACGTGGTGGAGAGAGAAATGGCTAGCTCTTCCTTTTTTTTATCTGGACATTGATCCCAGTGTGGGAGTGCCCAGAGGGCCCACCTCCTACTACCATCCCATTGGAGTTAGGTTTCAATACATGAATTTTTGGAGGACAAGAACGTGCAAGTCCATAGCAACCTTTAGTTTGAGCAACTTGTTGCTCTACTAGGCAAAGGAAAGAGAAGGAAGCATCTAAGCTGATTCCTCTTTGCCTCTCCATTCATATCTTCTTCCCAGTCCAAAGTATAATAGGCCTGTTCTAGGCTTTGAAAGAAGACACAGGTGATGTTATAAGGAAATTGATTCAGTACATATATTCAGCACTGCAGCTTATTAGATGCCATCTACCTGTCAGAAAAAATCATTAGCATGATCCTTACCCAATTTTATGTGGAGATTCTTTGTATAGGAATATTTTCTTAATCACCATAGCTTCCTGAACATAGAACTTGGCCCAACTTCAGCAAGGAATATTCTTTAATGTTATGTTACACTTCCTAGCAGGAAATTAGAAAGAACACAGAAAAATCTATTTTGAATGGATAAGCCTTAATGAGAATCTGATTTTTTTTCTTTAATGCATTAATTTCATAATCTAGTGGCATAGTAAATCAATACTAGGTATATTAAACAGTGTTTTTTTTTTTTTAAGATATTCTGGAGTGTATACAATAATATTCCTCCTGTGACTAGCCTGCCTTTGAGATGTAGTTATCATTTAATGAGAGGAGAGAGGCGACCACTTTGGTAAGTGTCTAATGTATAATTTGAGGTTAAGGTGGGTGGGAGAGAAATGATTATGAACCTCATAAAATATTTACCTCATACTGAATTGGAATGCCAAAGTAGTTTTCTGCTGGTGATGTTGCAGAGTAATTTTAGCTATGACATAAGTCCCTGCCTACCACCAACTCCCCTTGGGACTAGTGAGTGGGGGGTCTCTGTGCTCCTCCACTGAGTGCCTCACTACAATCTTACCATGGGTGGCCATGTAGTCCTTTGGGGGCAGTACATATTTTTGCTTTGCTCCTTTGTTTGTTTAACAGTGATTTGGACAGTGGAATGAACAAGCTGCTCGGCTGATGAGTTGAGGGGAACAGATGTGCTATCTATGTCTGTTATATGGTTGAAGAAAGCTCCTATCACCCCAGACTTCTCTCACTCATGTGATCTGTGATCGTGACCATGACCTAAGTTCTTAGGTTCTTTTTTTAAATAAATTGGTGTAGTGATTACGGTAGTAGATGGTAACCAATTTAGGCTAGAGTCCTAGTCAGTAATAAATCCCTGTATCATGTCCCTCAACTGTTTTAAGTTATTTACTCACTAATAAAACAGAGACTTACCTTGCTTTGTTTGGTAGAAATGAAAGAAACCTTATTTGAAAAAAAAAATGAAATTTTTGACCCCTGTAATGAGACATCCACTGACAGAGCTGATTTCTGCCAGGCCTGGGTAATCAAATTTGTCAGACTAGGAATATGACACTCTTCATCAGATTTACTTTGCTTTCCTCTTCATTGGTTTAATTTTCAGGCATGCTTTCCCATGTGTGGTAGAAAAGTGGTTTTCATAGACTATAGTCTTACAACCTACATGTTTCTCACTATCTGCATTCACCAGCCCCAATAAAATGCCAGGCCTGGCTCTCACCTACCACCTTTCCAATGCTGGCAATTACACAGACTAGGAAGAGACAGTGTTCTTGTAGGCAAACCTGGTCATCAGTCCACCTTGGAAGCTCGGAAGTGGAATCAGCCTATAAGAATGGATCTCATATACTAGTAGGGAACATTGGCTCCTTAAAGGGAAATTGGGGGGCCTCCCCAGAGGCACAGCAGGTTGAGCACAGCGCTGTGAAGCTGTCTGCAGCCTTTGCAGCACTGGTTCAATTCCCGGCCGGCCAGGAAGATTCCCACATGGTGCGGCAGACCTCTCCTGTCATGCCCACTGCTCCCCTCAGCAGTGTATTTCAGTCATGTGCCTGTTCTGCTCCCCACTCTGTCTCTGGTGAATCTTCTCACCCTCCTGTGCCTCTGTCCTGTACTCCAGCTCTTGTATAAAAATAAATAAATCTTTTTTTAAAAAAAAGGGAAATTGGGAGCAGATATTAAACAGGGACACACAGCAGGTATCCATTATGGGTGCTGAATTTCCTGTTAAAACCACACCAGGTTGATTTGAGAATCAGATGTGGTCATGTAAACACGATACTGAAATGTAAAGACCTTCACACATGTGAAATAATTGTATTCATTTGTTTGTCCCCAGATTGTCCCTACCTCCTTGAGGATTATAACCTGGTATCCCATCATTATCTCTGCTGTAGCAGTCACTGAATTCAACTTTTTTCCCTTCCTTTTTCTTTCCTTTTGTTTCTGTTTCCAATAAAAGGACTAAGGGGGAATTTATTGAAAAATGCACAATTGTTTTTTGTTTCTTAATGTCATCTGTTATTAAGCTTAAATGTATGTGAATGGCTTCTTTCTTGAGTATAACTTTAAATATTGGTCTTTGATCCAGGGAAGAGGAGAGTAATGCAAAGGGTGGTGTATGGAAGATGAAAGTTCCTAAGGATAGCACGGTAGGTCTTTTCTAGAACTGACTAAGCTTGGGGTGGTTGGTGGCTGAGTATGATGAATTTTGTATGCATTTTGGACAGTACCCCCACTAGTCTTAGAACAAAATGGGTGAGAAATTCTGCTCTGACCTTGTAGATTTTCTGCATAGCACTATCACCTCAAAGATGTATTGTTGTTCTTCTCTGCGGTAGTGGTATAATAGTATCTTGTCGTCCTAAGAGCCGAATGCTTATAAACTTTACAAACTGAAAAACTGACAATATTCCTGGTCATCATGCCCTCAGCAGCTATATATATGGAAGATGGTCTCACAAAGAATCAGGGTCCTTCCTACCAAGGGCTCATCCTTCCTCCACTGGTGGGAGAGATGGTTCTGAGGACACCTGTGACATGGAGAGTGCGATGTTTGAGATGACCTTGCATCTCACCATTCTTTGGGATTTTATGGGATGCTTTCATGCCAGCCTCCCCCTGGGGCGGACGAGGACCTGACTGGGGAGTTGGCCTTCTGGGATGCTAGTTGGCAATAGCCAAACCTCAGAAACTTAGATTTCCCAAGAGTGGGTTCTAATTCATTGTACTGACTGAAAAATGAACATTTCAAATCTGTTCTTAATCCCTGAGAAACCAAGAAACTCCTTTGAAAATGGATGAAAAGGCAAATACTACCCAGTTTTACCTTTTCATAGATTCTTTCATGTGGATAAGCTCAAAGAATTGAGATGTCTCCAGGGACCCATGTGCTCAAGCTGGAGTATTCCCCTCCATACACAGATCTGAAGATAGGACCAAACTTATTGGTTAAAGATGCGAGTGATTAGTCAAGATATATAGCTCCAGGATTTGCCTCTTATTTGGCATACATAATAAAAAAAATCAGGGGAGCAAATAACAAATCAGGCAAGATGTATGAAGTGTCTCTGCTCCCCTAAAAAGGAGAAAGAGCAGAGAATAAAAGAGAATGAGAGAAGTAAAGGGTTTTATTTTTTTTTCATTTCAGCAAGACTAAGTTTTCCTTTTCATGGTTCTTTATTTGTTCACACTGAATGTTGATGTCTCATAAAAAACAACCATGATGTCAGCATTCAACAAAAAGCCACTGGCAGGCTCAGCTCTCCTCTTCTTGTCAGCTCATTGGCCGTGTTCAGCCACAATAGTGCTGCTGTGTGGACAGATGTCCTCATCCCCACAGTGCAGCGTGCTCTTATCTGCTGACAAGTGGGACTCTAGTGGCCCACCTTACCTGAATTAAAAGTGGGGGAATGTGCTTTCTCTTCTCTACGTCTGCAGAGTTGCCACTAACTGTAAGAGATAGCTTTGGGACAGATGGAAAATGAAAGGACCGATCTGTTCATAGACCAGATGGGAGAGGCTAGGAAAGAGCAAAGAAAATCCTCCTTGAGAGGGAGAGTCCCCATGGTTAATGGCTGTTGTCTTGGTTAAAAATTCAACTAGGCTCTTTTCTACTCATTAACGTATAATAATAAACACTATTATTACAACTAATCTGTGTTGAGCACCTGGCATATAGCAAACATGTGGTTGTTTTTGGAATGCTTCGTAAATGTTGAGTCCTTCTGTTGCAGTCACAGTGTTAAGCCTTTTGAATACATTTGTTAACTAATATCCGGGTCACAACAACCACAAGAGGTTGGTCCTGTTATTATTCCCTTCGCCTAAAGAAATTCGCCTAAAGAAATCCACGCTCAGAAAGGTTAATAACCTACCTGGGCACATATACTAAGTATCCTTTCAGGATTCAGATCAGGTTCTGGGGGAGTGCAGAGCCTGGAAATTATGTAAGAAAGTGAAATGGGCTTCTAGGAGCCTGTGAGTGGATTCTAGCTGTCTCCTGGCATTAGTAGATAGTGACTAGCAGGGACTCCAGTTTTCTCTCTGGAAGGCAGTGGACCAGGAAGTTTGCTAATTCTTATGGGGGGATGTCTCCATCCACACATCCAATTCAGCCACTTGGCATTGACAGCCTGCATTGAGTGGATGGAAATTTGCAAGTCTCTAGTATTCAGTTAACCAAAAATTTCCATAATATTCTTTATTTATGTAACATCTAAAATACTTGGTATACTGCAGGAACAACAGAAGAGAGGGTTTTGAAGAAAAGGATTTTACTAATAGCATTTGAATATAGCAAGTTGATATATTTTTAGGTCAGTGCACGATAAAGAAATGGTCAGTTACAAATCATTTGAATGCATATTCCCTGATTCTTCTGAACTTCATCAGAGGTTTCATTAAAGATAACTTTGTGACTGGACACAAAGTTTGTGACTTTTGGATCAGTGTATCTCTGTGTAAAGTTATTTGTAAAACAATACAATATATGACACCATGGTGATTTGGAGATGTCTGCAGACTCCAGCAGACATGGGCATGGAAAGTGCATGTGAAGATGAAGCAGATGTGACTTGTTTAGCTCCTGAAGATAATTGTCTAAAAATATATGTGTTGTTTTTCTGTTTTGTTTGTTTGTTTTTTATTTTTTCCCCATACAAGTCCACAGTTTGGAAAGAGTTGTTATTAGCGACTATCGGGGAACAATTCACAGACTGTGCCGCTGCAGGTAAAGAAGCTCACAGCTCATCCCTGGCGTGTGTGCTTGGCTTGTGCTTGGGACTTGCAGAAGTTTGTATTTGTGTGTTTATTTTGTAACTATGAAGTTGCTTAGATTTTTTTCATGTGATTGTGGCATTTAGTATGTGTATGTGTGTATACTTACATATATATATACATATATACACACACACCTAGTATATACATATATGTATATGCATATATTATTTCCTCCCATAGCTCATCTTCTTAGTACCCATGTACATCTATCCAAAACAAATAAGCAGAAAAAAAAGAAGTTTGGACCCTTAATACAATTTGTGGTAGGTTTCCTCTATCTGTTCCAGTTCTTCCTACAGGGTCTGGTGAAGTTGGTATATTCTTTTCCACCGCTTCCGATCCCTTCCCTCTCCTTCCTGTCCTTGTCTTGTTACCCCCCTCAGAGAGAGCCTATGAAGGGTAGGTAGGGATATATTCAGCATTATTTCTGGTGGGCCCCCAATTAAGGCCAAAATATGACATCTTTAAGACTTTAGTTGGAGACCATTTTCAAATACTGAGTGAATTTCTTAGAGTCCCCATGACATTTTTAGTTTGCTTTGTTTTTATCATGAAACCACTCGGAGAGGAGAAGTGGATTGCTTATTTGAAGATTAGTTTTCTTCTTGAAGATTAGTTTTCTTCTTCAGTAGTAACATTTAGAGTGATTTTTTTATGGTTATTCTTTAACTAATTGGTATGAGCTGATTTGCCCTTACGTTTCTCTTAGATGGTGCTATTTTTAGGATCCCCCATAGGTCTAGCTAGTGCTATAGCAAATTTCAATTCCATCTCACTAGTAGTTTCAATCACTCTCTTTTTCTTTTGCTTGCTTCTTATACCACCTTTTATTCACTTAAGATAAAACATGGATTTAGATGAAAAGATCTCAGAAGTATAAATTCCTTCTGTTTTAACAGGCAGTAGTTAGCAAATTCACAATATGTAGCAAAAAAATGCATCCTATGTGTAATTATAAACAAATATATCCCTGTTTTCTGGGAGAAGAAGTTTTCTGTATGAACTCTTCCTGCTTCCAGAACCAGGGAAAATAGTTTAAGTAACAATTAATAGCCAGTGTTGAGTAAAGAAGACCTATTGTTCTGTGGTTGACTTAGGAAATGAGTACTCTAGTAACTATTAACCATTAGCTCTTCCATTAACCTGAACCCACCACTTGAAGCAACTTCGTTCCCATTTCCCTCATCTTTGAATAATGGCTCCTCCTAACTCTAGTGTCTTGCTACCATTACCCTAAAATTATCAGGGTTTTGCTAGTCGATTTTATTTACATGACTTGTTTGTGACCAGATCTGCCTTTGTGCAAGAGTTGCAGCCTTTTTACCATGACATTTGTAACGTGCTATGCTCATGGGCTATGCCAGTTACCAAAAGCCAAGTCAGATTGAAATATTGACAGTTCAGCATATTCAGCTCCATTAATGGTAGCACCTTCTCACCAACAGTATAAATATGAGCAAAAAGAAAGCACCAGAGAATGCTTTTGAAGGTATGAATTTAAAAATCAGATACAATACATAAAATAAATTTCATGATGGAATAAGTTCCTGTGGATGGCCATGATCAGGTACTGTTTATTTTTTTGGAAATTTTTGTTTAAATATGGCATTATATACAGAAGTTTTCACAAAGTATAATGTACATGACTTCATAAATATTCACAAAGTGACAGATCTTTGTAACTAATGTTTAGCTCAAGGAGCAGAACATTATTGGCTCCCCAGAATCTCTCTTTGCTCTCCATTCAACAGTGGCCACCAGCGTAACTCCTGTAGGCTAATTTTGCCTGTTTTTGAACATTTATATAAATAAAATAATTTTATGTCAACTCATACACCCTTAGGATCAAATTTTAAAGGAAAGAAGAATGATAGGAAGTGGGGTAGAAGGAGGAGAGAAGAAAGGAATTAGTTTACTGAAGATGAATCCTATTAGTAAATTGGACGTGTTCTTCCTTAAATTATATCTAAATACGAGAATGTTTTAATCTCCAGAAAGACAAGTGGAAAAAGGATGGCACAAGTATTTAGATTTACAGATTTATAGCAAGGTAGGAAAATTAAGCAAAGCATATTAACTAAGGCAAAATTTCTTGATTTTTGTATTTTTATCTTTTGCCTTTTACTTACTGATATCAAGTATGCAAGTAGAGAATTGACCCTATTTCATTGATATATCATGAATCTGTAAACCAGGAATCAAAAGTCCTTACTGCTATCATTTTGTTACAAATGAATGTAAGCAAAGTGACTCCAGGAGAACATAACACAGGCAAACAAAACGTGACTTATCCAGCCACCATTCTCAAATACCTACAAGGCAGTCCCTAACCCAAAATTTTGATAAAAGAAGACCTACATTAGTCAAAGTAGATAAATGCTTAAATGTCGGTCACCATAGTACTATAATAGCGGAGCCACCCTCCGAAGATATTTACTCTTACTTTGTACACAGTGCTAACAGATGGTCATAGATTCTCTAGCCCATAGTTAAAAACCCCAAACCAGAAGGGGGTGGCTGGAGGGATGCACTAAAGAGCCAGACTTAAAAAAAAAAAAAAAAAAAAAAAAAAAAAGGAACAGACGAACCACAAAAGCAGTGTGAGCAACTGGGAACACACAGTCTGGGCCCAGTTGGTGTTAGGGCAAACAGCACTAACCACCCCACGATCTCTGAAAGCTGGGCAGGAAATCAGGGGAAATACTTGCTGCACTTAACAGTTAAGCATCAAGGAAAAGTTCATGTGAGTTCACTTGGCTTTCAGAAGGCAGAGTCTTATGCAACTCATTTTAGAAAAAGTCTCATCAAAACAGAGTAAGAAATAGTCAGAAAGCTTTGTTGACATGTTAAAAAGGGTGAATTACTTATCTGGAGAACTTACCCGGCTGGAACACTTTGTTTATCTATGTCCCTGGATAAATGTGATGTGACTGCAACATCTTTGTCTGCTAACTTGCTTTTGCCCAGTGATTCCCCTTAGAAACAAGTATTTACTATGGTTCTCTTGTGCCATCTTTTTATCACCTTATCCATAACTTAAAAATAATGGGTGCTTAAAAAGCCAATGCAGGCAGACTCGAAACTATCACTTACTTCTTTTTTCCCATCTTCTTCTCAGATGACGAAGTCATAGGAGTTAGTGTCAGTGTTCGGGACCGAGAAGACGTCGTCCAAGTCTGGAATGTAAATGCCTCTTTAGTGGGAGAAGCAACCGTTTTAGAAAAGATCTATGAACTTCTGCCACACATATCTTTTAAAGCAGTATTTTATAAACGTAAGTGCTTCATTTTCAGTTATTACCTTCTAGCATATTCTGTCATACTTTTAAAGATAGAAACTGTTGCAAATGAGGTGAAGGCAGAATCATTTGAAATTCTATAATCCAGAAAATAATTCAATAAAATACATTTCATTGTTTAAAAGAAAAAGTTTAGTCTCAGAAATTAAAATGAGGTTTTATTGTCACCTAAATGCTTGGATCAGAAAAGGAGAGACATACTGTATTTGTTATTTCAAACATTTAAGCCTGATTTAAATTTGTCATTCTCAGAAAAAATTACATTCTATTTGAAGCAACAATAACAAAAATGTTATTATATGAACTGGCAGGTAGATATTCAATCATCCCTTCATAAACAGGAATTTATAATGTATAACATCTGTATTTGTGTAGGAACTCGTTCTGAGCATAGGGATGATTGAATGTTCTACTGAAATGCTAATACTTCCTCATTACGATGACTGTGACATAGAACCAAAAGAGAATTCATGCATAGTGGTGAAATGTTAACAGTTTGAATAGGTGTGTGGACCCATTGTTTCCATCATGATTCATGTTCATTGCTTTTGTGTGCTCTTTTGAAAAAGCCATCTTTTTCATAACGAAAACAGCTTAGTGCTATTAAACCAATGTTTGGTAGATCCATCTGCGGGTTACAGCTTTAATGAGTTAGAGAAAAAGATTGACATCCCTTTGCATATATGGTGAGTTTCCATTTCCCAGACTGTTTCAAGAGTCAGTAACCCAGTTTTTAAACTATTGTATTTCATTGAATCTGAGATGCCCTTGATGCTAAGTATTATTTTAGTATTTCTAAGAAAGGAAAATAAAAGACTCCCAGTTAAACAGTGACACATTGTTGATTGCAGAGATCTTCAAATGTGGAGTTGGTGTTGGAGGGGGGGACATGCATCTTAGAGTTACTGAAATACCTCTCACTGTTGTTTCACTTTTCCCAAGTCCCTTGCCAGAAAGGAGGAAACTCACATTTTGCTCCATGATTGTGTTCATATGATAGAAAATATTAAAACCAAGCCTTTTCTAAGGAATCTGACACTCACAGGCCAGGTGCTTTCGATTTTAAGTAGTGGGATTGGCCGGGTGCTGCAGAGAATCAGAAGGTGTTTAGCATCTGAATTTTAAATAAATGCTTAAAAAAGAGAGAGAGAAAGGTGGCACTGCAGAAATTGCTTATTAGCGGTGCAGTGTGGAAATTGCACATTTGTAGATACAATTTTTCATTCCTTAGGAAACATTGTGTTTTCAACCCAGATATTAGTTGAAAGGTCACCAAGGAAGGGCCTTGTCTCTTTCCACAAGACTTTAACTTCCTCAGAAATTCTGGAAAGAAGTGTGTTTCATTGCCATTTATAAACAGGACGCACCATTCTTTTCCATCTTTGACCAGCTCCACATTTGCCTCCAAAGAGGAGAAAAGCAGTTTGGAATCATGAAATCGGGTACTCTGAATTTTTGTCCCACTTCAACAGTGTGACCTTGAGCAAGTCACAACTACTCATCCTTTCACTTTCTCGTCTAAATATTGAGGAGGTTGGTCTTAAAATGATCTCCAAGGTTCCTTCTACTTCAAAATTCTATGATTAAATTTCTAGGTAACATTTTGGTTAGCATCAAACAAGATATAAATGTTGATGATTAGCCAGAGTGGTAAGGCTAGTTGCTAGGGCAATGGCAACAATCAGGTAAGATGAAAAAGGATGTGTCATTGCTTAGCTGTTCTAATGGGCCAGGAGGAATTCAAGAGCCAAGTAAGGGGAGACCATTGCAACTAGGCCAGTTAAATGAAGCTGAATAGACATCCTAAGGATTGATGCCATTATGAAGTTTGTGAGTAACGCACAACTGGCTATAGGGCTCACTAGAAAGCCATATTTTAATGGCATAAATTAACATTTAAAACATTATTCAAATAAAAATTTGAATTGGAAAAACAAGCAATTCTCTTTATTTTATATGAAGCAGGCAGTCCTTTACTCAGTAGGGTTATACTCCATTTGCTGCAGAATAATTTGGGAAAATGAGGTTTGGGCAGAAATCTTACAGCATGATAAAGAGCACTCATAGGGGAGCTAAGTTAGGCATAGCCAACTCCATGCATTTACTCTGTCTTGAGGTAGGATCCTGGTGTTAAGTATTCATGAGTGTTAAGTATTCGTGCCAGGTGTCATGGCAGATATTCCCTGTAGAAAGACCCCAGGCATATTTGGTCAAGGCCTCCCTCAGGGAGGGTGATGATCTGGCTGTTGACAAGTTCTTTGATTGGCTGCAGATTGGTTTTTTGAGGAACTCACAGTGTACAGAGACCCCTCTTCCTCAAACCCTGTTACATTCTTCAGCACATTGAATGACAAATGTTATTTTTCTGATGTGAGAATCATTTAGAGGTTGACAAACCATAAGTCTCAAGCCAAATCTTCCCCTCCCTGCCTGCTTTTGTATGGGCTGTGGCTAAGACCTGTTTTCACATGTTGAAGTGGTTAGAAAAAATCACAAGGAGAGCTATATTTTGTAAAAATTGTATGAAACTTAAATTTCCGAGTCCATATCCTAAGTGTATTAGCATCTAGCAGTGCTCATTTTGTATATATCATCTATGGCTGCTTTAGTGCTACAATGACAGTGTTAAAGTTGGGACAGAAACCCTATGGCCCACAAAACCTAAAATATTTTTTCTTTGCCGCTCTCCAGAAGTTTGCAGGCTCCCGGCTTAGAGCATTTCTATTTTCCTCTCTTCTGAGGCTGACCTAAGACTGGCAGAACTAGCTATGTTCCTAGAACTCTCCCAGTTCTGAGTGTTTTGTTTTACCTCCATAACTCATCAAATGTGTGTTTTCCTGTGTCTCAACTCTGCCCACATTGGCATTTACACCTCAAAGTAACAAAAGTCAGTGGGCAGTCCCTACTTCCTGCTTTATAGTTTGGAGCCCAACATCACTGACTCTGGGGCTCCTCACTTGACCCAAACTCTATATTTTGTTGCAGAGCAGACCATATTTGCTTTGGTGTCTACCCTAAAAAATCGTCCTTAAAAAAAAACCCATAAAAAGGTGAAATATTTGTAAAGTTATACATGTGAGAAATGTTCAGTTAAATCAGCTTGGGTTACAGGCACCCCTAGAAGTCTCACCACCCCAAGGTAACCCTGGGAGCCATAAAGAGTACTCGCCCACTGTTATATCCAAGAGAGAAGCAGGCGCACGATGCTGAAGGCAGAACGCCCTGCCCTGAGCCCCACCCCAGCATCTGTCTAATGAATTTCTTCCATATTGAAAACCGTGAGTTGGGAAGAACTGAACAGGTAACATGAGGCAGCCCCTCTGGGCCTTTCTAGGACCCCATTCACTGCTGATGGAGGGAGAGGATGAGGAGACAGGGCCAAGGGATCCTGAGTCACCTTTGCTCTATCAGATCCCGACCATGGTGACATTTCCACTTAAGAGGATCGGCACTTGCATCGTGGTGATGGTTTAGCCATATTCAGGAATGCGGTTTTCAGACTTGGCCTTTTGCCTGGAGGAAATGTTACGTATTTCATAGGTCTCCCATTTCCTACATCCACTTCACAAAGTCATTAAGTATTCAAAAGTGCTGTTTTTGATCACATAATTTTTTACTCTGGAGTTCCTAATTGTAATTAGTAATTTTGCAATCCAGACAATAGGGCTAGGGGAAAAAAAAAAAAACGTTATGGGGGGGGTGGATCATCAATTTTATGAAACTATTTCCCACATTAAGGTGTTCAGCAGTAGGGAGAACTAACTTATGTTGCCCTTTGTTTTATTTTGGTTTTATTTTACTTCTAAAGTTAGGCTTGTTAATGGCCCTTTGTTGGGTAATGCCAGTCCCCTACCCATTTGTGCATCCTGTAGGGTGCATTTCCCCTGTAGCACTTGATTGTACCAAACCTGTTCTCGCCATCAGCTTGCCGGGATTACCCATCCTCTCCGGCACAGCAAGAAGCATTAAGCGGCATGTCCATTGCTTGTTTATTCCTTGTTTTAATTTTCATTATTATGTTTCTCAGGAAATGCACACCTTAGCTAACTGGCACAAAAGGTATTTGAGTTCTTGCCAACATTTGGGGAAACTGAATAAGATGCCTAGAAGAGGGTTGCCCCATCCTTTGCTTAAAGTTTTCTTTCCTTTTTTTCTTTTTTTGTTTTTTTCTGTCCTTTAGCCCATGAAGAGCATCATGCTTTTGAAGGTGGACGTGGAAAACACTAATTGCACTCTGTAAAGAATTCTTTGTCCTTTGCTGATTGGTTTTGGAAACGGTCTTAACAGGAGGGAGTGAAGAGAAGACTTGCCGAAGCCCGATGCTGGTCAATTTAGAGTGGGTTTCTGTCCTTGCAGATTGGGCAATTAGGACGCAAAGTGGCAGGTGGGGTGGGGGGAGACTGTGTGGGTTTCTGCGGTCACGTTACTTGCTTTTTTTATTTTTGGCTTTCTAAATTCTCTGTTCTTTTCACTCTGATTTTTTTTTTTTTGCCCTTCTAAATTCCTTATTCAGTCTAATTATTGTTTTCTACACTCCCCTTTCATTGAGGCACAAGAAATCGGTTTCCCTTTCAGTAGCTCTGCTGTACCTAGTTAATGAGAATATGCATAATCGTGACAATAATGCTTTTGAAAACCACACTGTACTTGGAGGAATACTAGCTTGGTGAAACCTGTCTTTTGATTATTTGTTGTGACACATTCTTACCTACTATGCACTGGGCATTGTTTTCTCTGTCCCAAGGAAAAGAAAAAGATACTTAATCTGATTTTGCACTGACAGCACACACATCTTTTATTTTTCCTTTTTAAAGCATTTTTTAGAGATAAAAGGAAAATAATAGTTGGGTTGCCTAACATGTAAACTATAATCACAGTTGAGTATCAGGCTGTAAATCAGACTCTAGGCCTATGGTCCCTCTAGGGAAAGATTTCTAAGCAGAATTTCAGTTTGGCCTTTTTCAAAGGAAGGCTTAGAGTGGTAGCAAGGGATCTCTCCCAGTAGGAAACCTATTTCTGATTTAAAGAGAAAGTGATATTTTAATTGTTTGAAAAATTTCTCCCAAATTTTGAGGATGTATACTTAGGCCTTTCCAAATCAATTGCAGTACATTTTGTTATATGGTCCACTTTTCCTGTTCATGGTGTCTGTCCTTTCTGACATCTGTAGTCCTCCCTGGGCTCCCTTTTTCATTTATGAAGTTAAATTTCATTTCCAGGAGGAATGTGAATGTTCACAAAGTTGAACTTTGAGTGTACTCTGTTCATAATAATTATTAGAATTGTTGATTTTAAATATATATATATATAGAGAGAGAGAGAGAGAGAGCGCGAGAGAGAGAGAGAGCGCGCGAGAGAGTGTCATTTACCAAAGAAAAACTGGTATTAGTAGAAGGAAATGGCCACTCAATGGAACACTGAAACTTCCTCAAAATGTGCCAATTTCTTCTCTTAACTCTACCAAGCCTCCTGCTTTTACGTGATAAAAGGGCAGGGCCGGTAGGAGACCCTTCCTCCTACTGACTTGTTTTTGGAGTAAGGGGGAACACATGCATGCTTATACATTTTGCAGGACTTGCACCAGGATCTTTAATTCCTCTCTCAGCATTGACAGGCAGAGATGGGGGGCTTCTTCCGGTCCCCAACATGTGTTTGTAAATAAAATCTTCCAGACCTTTAAAAGGACTTTCAGCAATATCTATTTATAAAAATTGTGCTCTTCATGTGCAATACTAACCATATCAACCATAACAGTGACAGTAGTTTTTAAGTAATTGTTTCTAAACTTGAGTTTCTTCAGTGATTTCAAAATGAGGTATAAAAATATCAAATTCATTTTTCAAAATCCTGAAACTTGTTTCTCTAAACATTGTACTAACATCCACTTATTTTAAATTGTTTATTAAGGATTTTTAAAGAATTATTCTGGACATAAATTCTTTTTATAATATAAGTATTTTTCATATAGATTAGAAAAAGCATATGATTGACTTACCTTCATTATAATTGTCATATATTTCCATAAGTAAATAGATTCTGAGTCATTTTTAATTTTGAACTTTATTTAAAGTATTGTGATATGATCAACTTTTCATGTATGTAGCCTTTGAAATAAAAAAATAAATAGGAATGTTAGGCTCACATTAATGTTTTCCAGTTTCTATTGTTTATGATTATGGAACTTTTGTCCTACAGAAATTCTACAACTATTTCTTACCCTGTAGCAAATACCAATTGTGAAAGGATTTAATTTGCCAAATGTTAAGCACCTATCATCTAAATTAAGAGAGGCTTTGGTCAGATTTTGCTTAGGACATTGTTTTAATTGAATAGTTCATAGTGGACTTTGTATGAACTAAGCTGATTTAATCAGTTTTAAAGCCTCTCGTTACCTTCTTGGATTAAAGGAGCTAATTCTCGCTCGGGATACCAGGAAATATTTTGTGGGGCATGTGACCTTTGTGTGATGGAAGTGTACCCATCTTGACCAGTACTGGGGAACTAGCGCACCTACAGCAGAATCTGCATTTTCTCAGCCAACTCCTTGCAAGTGCAGCCTGACTTCTCTGCACAGAGCCACATAGAAGCCAGAGCTCACTTTTTTGCCTTTGCGATTCCTCAGGGTCTGTAATGCAGAGCTAGGGACTGTGAAGTCAATATACTTTTTTTTCTCCTTCTGTTATGCCCAAGGTTGTCATATTGTAGGTGGGAAAATTACACTCACTAAATAAGGATGAATAATATCCATTTTGAGGAACTTGTCTGTATTTTAGTTTTCTTTTGTAAGCCCTTTCTGAAGTGCTTACTCAATTTTAAGATTTCTCCTATTCCCCTCCCACCCCCCACCCCCGGCAATTTTCCACATTTCCAAAATGAGGGTATAGTTTACAGTAAATATGTACATTTAATATAATGTAGCTATTAAATTCATGGTAAAATTGACAGGGGGGGGTGAGCAAAAAGGGGGGAATACAACTCTAGTAAACTTTAAATGAGTTTAACATGACTGACTTTCTCAGCTCTCTTCAGAGAGTTCATCTCTACACCATACAGTCACAGGACGCTGTGATTCCAAGAAGTTTTATAATTGGGTTCACTGGGCACTATGTACAGTCTACCAACTGAACCTCGATGTCTACAGGCTACACCCACTCCAGGCTTCCTTAAACTGACAACACTGTAAACCGTTAGCCTAACCCCCCAGCTGTTCCCCAAGCCAAGCTCCAAGTCTGATTCAGCCTGCTCTCTGACATGACTGTACATATAATCAGATGTCATCCTTACACACGGCTCTCATTTCCTCCCTCTGCCGCTCAGTGGCTGAGGCAGTGTGAGAGTTTGGTGTTTGAAAATAACCTCATTGTGAGAGGAAGTAGACCTTTTTTATGAGAAGCCTAGCTTTGAGAGGTCCCAACTTTCGCGCTTACACGGAACTGACAGCGTTTGGAGCCGTCACATGGTGGCGCTGCCTTCCAGCTGACCGTGCTGGCTCAGCAACATAATTTATCCAGCTGTTTGTGTAATCATTTTAAAATTCTTCTGCATTTTGCTCTTATGATATTATAAAAATTTGCTTAGATACTACCGATAAGAGTTTAGCTCTCCTACACCTAATAAAAATCTATCAACTCTCTGGATATGTTTTAAATGTTCAAATCTCAGGCTTTCATTGAGCCTTTCAGCAGTGATAAAGAAAGAATGTAAATAACATATAAGAGCTATCAGAAATATTTTGTCAAATTTCATGCCCAAAGGGAGAAGTTAAATTAGGGTTTGTTTTTTCCTTTAGTTTCCAAATATGGAACTCCTCTTTAGTATGTAAGTCTATTGTTCACTTTTCCTGTATTGTATTTTTCTATAGGATTTCATTCATTATAATGAAAGTAGAGGACTGCCTGTAGGTAGTTTATTTCCTAAAAGAATATGTTCAGATCTGTTAAAAAAATTAAAAGTCTGGTGACTCAGGATTGTAAAAACCTGGGTAGTTGTCTTAATAGCTGAGAGGAGTCAGAAGAAAAATGAAAACGATAGGAAAGGAGGGCCAGTTGAACTGATGCCTCTGTGTAGCTATTAGAGTGGGATCTCCCTCCCATGAAGAAAAATGTCCATTTAGATTCCTTATGCATTTGATTATACGGTTCTGTTTTTGCTTTCTATTTTTACATGTGCATCAAAATCTAAGAACACTTATTTAGGTTAACTCATTCAGGCTAAAAGCCACCATCTTGTGTTGTAGAGACTTTTGTCTTGCTGACACAACTCTGTTTCTAAAAGATAAATCACAGTCTCAGAATTTTCAAGTGGAAGGGACCTTCGAGATCATCTACCAGTGCTTCTCACCCCCTTAGCATACAGCGGAATCACTGTGGTGCTTACCTAATATGCCCTGACCCTAGAGGTTCTGATTCAGAAGATCTGGAAGGTGTAGGCTCTGCTTTTATAGAAGCCACCCCAATAACTCTAATGTGGATGATCTTTACACCTCACTTGACCACCGCCCCCCAATACATGCACATAACAAATGAGGACAGCCTCGAATCCCCCAAGCTCTTGAAGGTGACCTGATCTGAGAATGTATAATACCAACAGCCTTGTGAAGGCTGGAGAAAACCACTGTTGCTAAGACTTGAAAAGATGATACTGGTATATGAGCACTCTATGGCTAGCATCATAAAGTCAGCAGTAGCCCATCTCTGGAAGTCCATAAGATAAAACCTTTAACACAGAGTGGTGGTTTTTCTCTTCTAAATACTATTTCAACCTGTTAAGACAAAAGAAATTAATGTTCAGAAAAAGTAGTTACTCTGTATGTGCAGTAACTACTTTTCTGTATTGTCTCATGGCACCTGGGTTTCAGCATCATTGAACAAGATTAAATGAGTGTTATAGAGCTATAAAATTGCATGTAAAATAATGCAAAGGTGTTTAAATAACTATCAAAGTAGCCTTGGAATGAATATGCACTAAAATTAATTGTCACTCCTAGGTGTAACATAGAAAAGTTGTTACTAAACTGGAGGGATTCTTTAATACATAGCAGTATCAAAACAAATGAGTTTTCCCTAAACCATGTAAATGGTAAGCAAGTCATCATGAAGTCAATATTTTTGTTCATCGTTGCTACTAAAATTTAGAATCCCATTGTTTATGTGTGTGTTGAATGTACTTTATTAGAATATCCAATAAAATAACCTTTTGGATATTCTATGCTCTTGTGTCCTTTAGAAATCATGAGGTTGAAGGAATTATGTGTTAAATGTTTTTGTTTTGGTTGCTGCCTGAAAAAAATTACCTGCTCATTGAATGAAATGCAAGATTTCTTTAGGAAAATTTCAATTTCTATTGTTAAAGTCAGATTTTTTTCTTAAAATTTTATTTTGGAACAGATGTCTATTTGGGATTTATTAAACTAACTTTGCATTAGAGAAATGAGCATGAAATATGAGCATTACTGAGTTTTTGACAGGAAATTAATTGTATCTCTCATCTTTTTACATACAAAGAAACAACTTTAAATGAAGGTTTGAGGGTGAAAATTTTAATCAGAGCATTTTACATTTTATAACAAATGGAGTATATTAAAAGACTGAGCATTTAAACTGAGTTTTTATTGTCACTAGAGCTATTAATTTTGTGAGCATACATTAAATTTCCCCCAAATTTCTCAGACCTTCTTCCAATAGGACTTACAATCACTGTATAATTTTTTAAAGGTTTTTAACTGTCTTCTCAATTATTGTTTAATACCAAGTCACAATCCCATTGCATGTATCCTCACTGAGGTTTTAGTTGCATTTAAATGATTACACAAAAGGATTTCAGAGCTTATTCTAGTGAGCATACTTTGGCTTGGAGAATCTAGCACCATTTGTCCCAAATTTTAAATCTTATCAGTTGCATTCAAAATTAGTCATTCTTTTTGTTACCTGTATAAGTTAAACCAGGTTTATTTGCCTTATGCTTTGGATCTGCGTGTACCCCTCCTCTCCTTTGTATACCATCTGTGCCCTGTGCAGTTGGGGCCCTTTCACATATGGCTACAAGCTGGTGTAATGCCCTTCCTTTTGATCTGGCTTCATCTAGTGATTTGCTCAGTATTTTTAAGGTCAGACTGAAAACTTTTCTGTTCTAGTTATTTTTGATTTTATATTGTGTGTTGTGTTTGATGTTCAGATACATGTGAAAGTTGCTTCTATAAGTCAGTAATTTTTATTTCAGCCTTTTGCAACAATAAGGTAAGACTAGACTACTTTTCTTACTTGAAAATGTAGTGATTTGCGTGTTTAGTGCAAATGTTTGGACGATTTTTACAAAAGTTCTTGCACTTTTCTGATTTGAGTCTGAATGGCTTTGAACTTGTGCTCCTTCCTTTTCAAGATCTAATTTCAGGGGTTTGTTTAAATTCATTAGTTATAGAACTTTATGTAAGATCCTTTCTAATCTGCTGCCATTAATTCTCACTCTGTGTTTGCTTTCATTAGTAAAGAAATGTCTTTCTCCGCCCTCAGATTTAAATTTCATACAATTTTATTGACCACATCGTCTTATCTTAGTAAGTTCCAAGTATACGCGTGGTGATTGTCATAACCCTGCTTACTCTAGCATATAATGAAACTTGGTGGCCAACTGCTCTTCTGTGTGTGAAGCTCCTATACAGAGCCCAGCACTTAGTAGGTGTCCAGGCGCTCTAACGCCCTCCTGTTGAACACAGTGACCGGGCTCATTTGGCCTCTTAGAAAACACATTTCACTTGTTTTAATTCTTTTTTTAGCCTTTTCTAAATATAGTTGCATTTTACCATAAGTCAATTACTCTGTGTTTCTCTTTGTCCTCCAGTTTGCCCGTACAATTCAGTTAGCCCTCAGTTAGCCAAGTAAAGTGAATTGGCTCTTCCTCTCTGACTATTACATCCCTTTAAAAACACAACAAAATGCCAGCAAACTTTTACTT